AACAAGATTTCATTGTCTAGACGTCTAACATGTCACAACAAACGAGGTTCCATTGTCTTGAAGTCTAACATGTCAGATATAGCGATGTTCTATTGTCTAGAAGTCAAACATGTCAGACATAACGAGGTTCAATTGTCTAGAAGTCTAACATGTCAGACATAACGAGGTTCCATTGTCTAGAAGTCTAACATGTCAAACATAACAAGGTTCCATTGTCTAGAAGTCTAACATACCAGAAATAACGAGGTTCCATTGTCTAGAAGTCTAACATGTCAGACATAACGAGGCTCCATTGTCTAGAAGTCTAACATGTCAGACATAACGAGGTTCCATTGTCTAGAAGTCTAACATGTCAGACATAACGAGGTTCCATTGTCTAGAAGTCTAACATGTCAGACATAACGAGATTCCTTTGTCTAGAAGTCTAAGATATGACAACAAACGAGGTTTCATTGTCTAGAAGTCTAACATATCAGACATAACGAGGTTCCATTGTCTAGAATCTAACATGTCAGACATAACAAGGTTTCATTGTCTAGACGTCTAACATGTCAGACATAACGAGACTCCATTGTCCAGAAGTCTAAGATATCACAACAAACGAGGTTTCATTGTCTAGAAGTCTAACATGTCAGACATAACGAGGTTCCATTGTCTAGAAGTCTAACATGTCAGACATAACGAGGTTCCATTGTCTAGAAGTCTAACATGTCAGACATAACGAGGTTCCATTGTCTAGAAGTCTAATATATCAGACATAACGAGGTTCCAGTGTCTAGAATCTAACATGTCAGACATAACAAGGTTTCATTGTCTAGACGTCTAACATACCAGAAATAACGAGGTTTCATTGTCTAGAAGTCTAACATACCAGAAATAACGAGGTTCCATTGTCTAGAAGTCTAACAGGTCACAACAAACGAGGTTCCATTGTCTAGAAGTCTAACATATCAGACCTAACGAGGTTCCATTGTCTAGAAGTCTAACATGTCAGACATAACGAGGTTCCATTGTCTAGAAGTCTAACATGCCAGACATAACGAGGTTCCATTGTCTAGAAGTCTAACATGTCAGACATAACGAGGTTCCATTGTCTAGAAGTCTAATATATCAGACATAACGAGGTTCCATTGTCTAGAAGTCTAACATGTCAGACATAAAGAAGTTCCATTGTCTAGAAGTCTAACATGGCAGACATAACGAGGTTCCCTTGTCTAGAATCTAACACATCACAACAAACGAGGCTCCATTGTCTAGAAGTCTAACATGTCACAACACACGAGGTTTCATTGTCTAGATGTCTAACATGTCAGACATAACGAAGTTCCATTGTCTAGAAGTCTAACATGGCAGACATAACGAGGTTCCATTGTCTAGAAGTCTAACATGTCAAACATAACAAGGTTCCATTGTCTAGAAGTCTAACATACCAGAAATAACGAGGTTTCATTGTCTAGAAGTCTAACATGTCAGAAATAACGAGGTTCCATTGTCTAGACGTCTAACATGACAGACATAACCAGGTTCCATTGTCTAGAAGTCTAACATGCCAGACATAACGAGGTTCCATTGTCTAGAAGGCTAACATGTCAGACATAACGAGGTTCCATTGTCTAGAAGTCTAATATATCAGACATAACGAGGTTCCATTGTCTAGAAGTCTAACATGTCAGACATAACGAGGTTCCATTGTCTAGAAGTCTAACATGTCAGACATAACGAGATTCCATTGTCTAGAAGTCTAACATGCCACACCAAACAAGGTTCCATTGTCTAGAAGTCTAATACATCATAACTAACAAGGTTCCATTGTCTAGAAGCCTAACATGTCAGAAATAACGAGGTTCCATTGTCTATAAGTCTAACATATCAGAAATAACGAGGTTCCATTGTCTAGAAGTCTAACATGTCAGACATAACGAGGTTCCATTGTCTAAAAGTCTAACACATCAGACATAACGAGGTTACATTGTCTAGAAGTCTAACATGTCAGACATAACGTGATATTGTTTGCTACATTATCAGAGTTGAGATGTTGTTTACTTCCTTACAGAACGCGCCTAATGATATACGTAACCAGAGACAATTATATTCTAGTAAATTGATTCAACGCTTTAATTGTTTTGATGACACACTGATATTGTTTATTGAAGTCGAAATCCCGAAAATGATGTATATATATCATATAGAATTGATCCTGGTGTGAATGACCCGACCTTGACCTGCACGTGATCACTTTGCTGTAGATTTACGACCACCGTCTGTGACCCTGACCCTGCGTATTCCTTGCTCCCGTTGTAAGCCAACCCCAAATCGGTCTTGTTGCTGCGTAAAATGGTTTCTACTTAGTGACCAGCAGTTACTAGGGACGACCACGAGAAAACATATACACCTGACGTAATACACGTAAATATACCGGTTTTGTTGTTATAAGCCAAATCACCATTCGTTAAAATGACGTCATAGATAATCGTCTGTTCATTCTCCTGCACTGCAACAGAGAAGAATGAAAAAAAAAAAAAGTAACGAGACTAAATCAGTCACATGATGATAAGTATCTATAACTGCACAGTGTATTTCCGGGGAAAATTCCTTGACACAAGGATCACGTGATCAAAATGTGTTGTTTACAGAACATGATGTATCCAGATTTGTTTATTTTCTCCGTGGGATTCTATATTTAATTCAATTCATGCATGCTCATTAACTATTTCCCGTGCTAAAATCCCGATTGCCATATGAATATAATGAAAATTACAGAAACAGGTACTTACAGGTTACTAAAAATATAATATGTCAAATTATTTTTGTCGGCCATTAAAGAAAAATAATCACACATTGACGATGTAAGTTTAAGTGCAGAACTCTAATAAAGAGGATGTCATACTTCATGAATGAATGGTATTACTAGGAACTCTTTGAATGTGATAAAACATACCGATCAATTAATCATTGAGTATGGGCAGGGACTTACAGCATTATACATTATTTACAGCCACTTATACTGTTAAGCTGAGCAGCGTTTGAGAAATACATTTAATGTAAAAGTGGGATTAAATTTCATGTCAGCTACCTCTAAGTTTTTGTCCGAGTCGTGCGTAAAACTCGGAGCCAAATAATTTTTGTCGAGTGGTCGTTTTACAATCGTAACAATCTTGTAAATCTCGGGGGTCCCCCGCATTAACATTTCCGGTCTGTGTGACTTCCGATGACGTCATCTTCTCATACTGAATCTTCATAATAGTTAACTCCCTTGAATTTTGTTGGAGCAATTTTCTGTAATCCTTCTCACGTTGTTGGAAATATCTCATACTCGTGTTTAACTCTGCAATCTCGTTCTTCAATTCGTTGTTTTCAATTTTGATGTTTTGAAGTCCATTTCTCATCTCAAACAGATTTTCTCTACACTGATGGACTAAAGCCATTTCAATACTGATTTCCGTGGTCATTTTGAAGTTGTATAGTTTGGTCTGTCGATACTTGGAAAAAATTAAGAAGCACCAGCAGAATCACAAAGGGGTTATAGAGCATGGTGACGTGTTTGAATAAGAACTGTGACTTTAACCTTCCTTTATCATAATTAACGCGTGGTATTGATAAGAAAATGCCGAGATATCAGAAAGGTTGGGAAGACGTAGATAAGCTATGTCTATGGCTATATCCTATTTTCATAATTTTATTTAGATATCAAATAACTACTTGATATCTTACAGAACATGTGTGCAACACTGTGTAATATCCCTGTGATCAGGATAGCTCGTAATATATCTGGACTGGAACAATGTCTCACATCCCTGTGATCAGGATAGTTCGAAATACATCTGGACTGGAACAATGTCTCACATCCCTGTGATCAGGATAGGTCGAAATACATCTGGACTGGAACAATGTCTCACATGCCTGTGATCAGGATAGGTCGAAATACATCTGGACTGGAACAATGTCTCACATGCCTGTGATCAGGATAGCTCGTAATATGTCTGGACTGGAACAATGTCTCACATCCCTGTGATCAGGATAGTTCAAAATACATCTGGACTGGAACAATGTCTCACATCCCTGTGATCAGGATAGGTCGAAATACATCTGGACTGGAACAATGTCTCACATGCCTGTGATCAGGATAGGTCGAAATACATCTGGACTGGAACAATGTCTCACATCCCTGTGATCAGGATAGGTCGAAATACATCTGGACTGGAACAATGTCTCACATCCCTGTTATCAGGATAGTTCGAAATACATCTGGACTGGAACAATGTCTCACATCCCTGTGTACAGGATAGGTTGAAATACATCTGGACTGGAACAATGTCTCACATGCCTGTGATCAGGATAGGTCGAAATACATCTGGACTGGAACAATGTCTCACATGCCTGTGATCAGGATAGCTCGTAATATATCTGGACTGGAACAATGTCTCACATCCCTGTGGTCAGGATAGGTCGAAATACATCTGGACTGGAACAATGTCTCCCATCCCTGTGGTCAGGATAGGTCGAAATACATCTGGACTGGAACAATGTCTCACATGCCTGTGATCAGGATAGGTCGAAATACGTAATATATCTGGACTGGAACAATGTCTCACATGCCTGTGATCAGGATAGGTCGAAATACATCTGGACTGGAACAATGTCTCTCATGCCTGTGATCAGGATAGGTCGAAATACATCTGGACTGGAACAATGTCTCACATGCCTGTGATCAGGATAGGTCGAAATACATCTGGACTGGAACAATGTCTTACATGCCTGTGATAAGGATAGGTCGAAATACATTAGACAGTAACAATGTCTCACATCCCTGTGATCAGGATAGCTCGTAATACATCTGGACTGGAACAATTGTTCAGATTCCTGTGATATAAGGGTTTCTTCTAAATACATTCATCATGAATTCGGCGGCACTATGTGAAGACTACGAGACTATTCGATTTAAGAGTATTCGAATATTTTGTGTAAAGTTATACAGGGACCGTTATTGTTTCGAATTAAACATGGCTTTCGAGTTATATGAGTTCGATGTAACGAGGTTCGAGTGTACAACAGCCAGTCCAAGTACTCGCGCACCAAAACAGTATACATCAAGATATGTTTATCCTATACTTACAGACGTTTGGCGAGGATGAACATCATCTAGGCCAGAAACGAAATTAGAACACAGGAGATTTTTATCTCGTCTTTCTGATACTCTCATCCGTGACGTGTTAAAGCTGTCATACGCATTGTACATGTGAGGTGACTGAAAACACAGGCGTTTCACGATAACTAAATATAAATGAAAATAACCTATGACAACACAGTGTAGTTATAAACGACCTAAAGTAAACATTAGTCTCGTTCTAAAGGACTGTTTCATTATATTATATAGTGTAACATGTATTGGAGTTCAGTGAAATACTTACAGAAGTGTTGTGTTATATTATCAAACGCCTGAGTCCTTATATAACCTGTTTCATCACGGGTAAAGCAAATTTTTATAATTCTAAGGTTGTGAAGATATCGACGTTGACGGACACTTGTTGGATGGCTTGAGATATTCACTGGTGGCGGTACACTTGTGGAGAGGTTCGTCATACTCGGGTAAGGAGAATCTTTGTGACAGAGAGACAGCCTTTCAGATTGTGCTTGTGAGAACGACTTTACGTGTATAAAGCAGAAGCTATAGTTATCTGCAGGATTACCTAAAAACTATATCTACCTGGTTTAAGTTGAAATTTGTTTACATGTGTCAAAAGAAATTATAGTGTACGTATTAAACAGTGTGTCGTGTTTACACCTGTAACGGCATAAGATCGCATGTAAACACTAAACAGGGACATGATTGTACCAACCAGACGTTATCTATGATATTTGGCGAGTACAAGGTATAGGTTACACCGAGATGAAGCCGAGATGAAGCTGTAGGTTACACCGAGGTGAAGCTGTAGGTTATACGGAGATGAAGCTGTAGGTTACACCGAGGTGACGCGGTAGGTTACACCGAGATGAAGCTGTAGGTTACACCGAGGTTAAGTTGTAGGTTACACCGAGGTGAAGCTGTAGGTTACACCGAGGTGAAGCTGTAGGTTACACCGAGGTGAAGCTGTAGGTTATACGGAGATGAAGCTGTAGGTTACACCGAGGTGACGCGGTAGGTTACACCGAGATGAAGCTGTAGGTTACACCGAGGTTAAGTTGTAGGTTAAAGCGAGATGAAGCTGTAGGTTACACCGAGGTGAAGCTGTAGGTTACACCGAGGTGAAGCTGTAGGTTAAAGCGAGATGAAGCTAAGGTGAGGCTGTAGGTTACACCGAGGTGAAGCTGTAGGTTATACGGAGATGAAGCTGTAGGTTACACCGAGGTGACGCGGTAGGTTACACCGAGATGAAGCTGTAGGTTACACCGAGGTTAAGTTGTAGGTTACACCGAGGTGAAGCTGTAGGTTACACCGAGGTGAAGCTGTAGGTTACACCGAGGTGAAGCTGTAGGTTAAAGCGAGATGAAGCTAAGGTGAGGCTGTAGGTTACACCGAGGTGAAACTAAGGTGAAGCTGTAGGTTACACCGAGGTGAAACTAAGGTGAAGCTGTAGGTTACACCGAGATGAAGCTGTAGGTTACACCGAGGTGAAGCTGTAGGTTACACCGAGGTGAAGCTGTAGGTTACACCGAGGTGAAGCTGTAGGTTAAAGCGAGATGAAGCTAAGGTGAGGCTGTAGGTTACACCGAGGTGAAACTAAGGTGAAGCTGTAGGTTACACCGAGATGAAGCTGTAGGTTACACCGAGATGAAGTTGTAGGTTACACCGAGGTGAAGCTGTAGCTTACACCAAGATGAAGCTGTAGGTTACAACGAGGTGAAGCTGTAGGTTACATAGAGGTGAAGCTGTAGGTTACACCGAGGTGAAGCTGTAGGTTACATTGAGATGAAGATGAGGTGAAGCTGTAGGTTACACCGCGATGAAGCTGTAGGTTACACCGAAGTGAAGCTGTAAGTTACATTGAGATGAAGCGGTAGGTTAAACCGAGATAAATCTTAAGTTACACCGAGATGAAGCTGTAGGTTACACCGAGGTGAAGCCGAGATGAAGTTGTAGGTTACACCGAGATGAAGCTGTACGTCACATTGAGATGAAGCTGTCGGTTACACCGAGGTGAAGCTGAGTTGAAGCTGTAGGTTACACCGAGATGAAGTTGTAGGTTACACCGAGGTGAAGCTGTAGGTTACATCGGGATGAAACTGTAGGTTACACCGAGATGAAGCTAAGGTGAAGCTGTAGGTTACATCGAGATGAAGCTGTAGGTAACACCACGGTGAAGCTAAGATGAAGCTGTGGGTTTACTCAGAGGTGAAGCTGTAGGTTACACCGAGATGAAGCTGTAGGTTACACCGAGGTGAAATTGTAGGTTACACCAAGGTGAAACTGAGGTGAAGCTGTACGTTACACCGATATGAAGCTGTAGGTTACATAGAGGTGAAGCTGCAGGTTACACCGAGATGAAGCTGTAGGTTACAACGAGGTGAAGCTGTAAGTTACATTGAGATGAAGCTGAGGTGAAGCTGTAGGTTACACCGAGATGAAGCTGTAGGTTATATCGAGGTGAAGTGGAGATGAAGCTGTAGGTTACACCGAGGTGAAGTTGAAGGTTACACCGAGGTGAAGCTGTAGGTTACACCGAGATGAAGCTGTAGGTTACATTGAGATAAATCTGTAGGTTACATTTAGATTACGCTGTAGATTACACCGAGGTGAAGCTGTAGATAACACCAGGGTGAAGCTGTAGGTTACACCGAGGTGAAGCTGTACGTTACACCTAGATGAAGCTGTTGGTTACACCGAGATGAAGCCGTAGGTTACACCGGGGTGAAGCTGTAGATTACACCAGGGTGAAGCTGTAGGTTACATAGAGGTGAAGCTGTTTGTTACACCGAGATGAAGCTGTAGGTTACACCGAGGTGAAGCTGTGCGTTACACCGAGGTGAAGCCGAGGTGAAGCCGAGGTGAAGCTGTAGGTTACACCGAGGTGAAGCTGTACCTTACACCTAGATGAAGTTGTAGCTTACACTGAGGTGAAGTTGTAGGTTACACCGAGATGAAGCTGTACGTTACATCGTTGTGAAGCCGAGGTGAAGCTGTAGGTTACACCGAGGTAAAGCTGTACGTTACACCTAGATGAAGCTGTAGGTTACACTGAAGTGAAGCTGTAGGTTACACCGAGGTGAAGCCGTAGGTTACACCGAGGTGAAGCTGTAGGTTACATAGTGGTGAAGTACATTGTAACATCAGGAAATCTGAGTGTTTATCACTTCCGTGTAGTGATGTCAACTTCATGTGTATTTTTCAACTGCGGAACTCCATGTTAAAATCCTTCCCCGACGGAATTTCTGGAAAAAAAGATTATATATACAGGATCATGGTATTATTAAGTTTCGCATATGAACGACATTTATTTCTAATGCGCAGAAGAGCTGTGTATATCCTATATTTGTATCAATCCACGTGATATTTCATAGAGGTTAAGTATATCTGTATATAATTCAAATCTGGAGTTAGCAATCCAATGAAATAGCCTTCTAAGGCTGATTAAAAAGTTATTATTTGGACAAGAATGTGTTTTGGCAGGTGTACGGTCGCAGGACAGCGTGATTAGTACGGGACATCTACGACTATCTAATGGGGCACGAATAATCCTACATGACACATATTCTGTGTTTCTAGATGAATGACCAAGTCTCTGTTTGGTAATCAACGTGTCTGTTGCCATAGTTATCACCATTAAGACTAAAATCTTCACAACCATTCTCCAGGTATACATACGTAATCTGCTTAATATGGACCATTCCATGTCGATCTCTCAACCTATGGTGTTTACAGTTTCCAATTATCACGATTTTCGTGCAAGATGTCGTCAACTGACTGACAAACTTTTAACAGTTTTAAAAGATGCAAGTTGATGTATTTCTGTGGAAGTTTTACGGTCGTCATAGTGATCTCATTGAGAAATATTCTATTTCTTTGTGTGATATGAAGCTGGACGTGTTTGGTACTCGGTAGTTTGTCTGTTGGTTCCGTTGTGTGATATGAAGTTGGATGCGTTTGGTACTCGGTAGTTTGTCTGTTAGTTCCGTTGTGTGATATGAAGCTGGACGTGTTTGGTACTCGGTAGTTTGTCTGTTGGTTCCGTTGTGTGATATGAAGCTGGATGTGTTTGGTACTCGGTAGTTTGTCTGTTGGTTCCGTTATGTGATATGAATTTGGATGCGTTTGATACTCATTAGTTTGTCTGTTGGTTCCGTTGTGTGATATGAAGTTGGATGTGTTTGATGCTCGTTGGTTTGTCTGTTGGTTCCGTTTTGTGATATGAAGTTGGATGTTTGAAACTCATTAGTTTGTCTGTTGGTTCCGTTGTGTGATATGAAGTTGGATGTGTTTGGTACTCGGTAGTTTGTCTGTTGGTTCCGTTGTGTGATATGAAGTTGGATGTGTTTGATACTCATTAGTTTGTCTGTTGGTTCCGTTGTGTGATATGAAGTTGGATGTGTTTGGTACTCGGTAGTTTGTCTGTTGGTTCCGATGTGTGATAGGAAGTTGGATGTGTTTGATACTCATTAGTTTGTCTGTTGGTTCCGTTATGTGATATGAAGCTGGACGTGTTTGGTACTCGGTAGTTTGTCTGTTGGTTCCGTTGTATGATATGAAATTGGATGCGTTTGATACTCATTAGTTTGTCTGTTGGTTCCGTTGTGTGATATGAAGTTGGATGTGTTTGATACTCATTAGTTTGTCTGTTGGTTCCGTTGTGTGATATGAAGTTGGATGTGTTTGGTACTCGGTAGTTTGTCTGTTGGTTCCGTTGTGTGATATGAAGTTGGATGTTTTTGGTACTAATTAGTTTGTCTGTTGGTTCCGTTGTGTGATATGAAGTTGGATGTGTTCGATACTCATTAGTTTGTCTGTTGATTCCGTTGTGTGATAGGAAGTTGGATGTGTTTGATACTCATTAGTTTGTCTGTTGGTTCCGTTGTGTGATATGAAGTTGGATGTGTTTGATACTCATTAGTTTGTCTGTTGGTTCCGT